ATTTAACTTTAATCTCTATTTTTAACGCTTAGATTTAGAATTCTAATAATTTATTAATTATAATTATAATATACTTACTATTTTATTTAATCTTATATAATATAAAGCTATATTATCTTTATACTTAATATTTAAAAGTTTAAATAATAATAAAAACTAAATATTAGGTTTTATTTATATATAGGAATATAAAGAGTTAACCTATATATTTATCTTTAATAAGTAAGAGCTATTTATTTATATTAAAGCTTATTAAGTAGTTAAATAAGTCTTATAATACTTTATAGAAAAGTTATATTACTTTTTATTCTAAGGTATATTATAATATAACTTACTTTATATATATTATTATATAATATTAATATTTAAAGTGTAATATACCTTAGATCTTCACTTTCTAAGCGTTAAAAATAAGTTTCTTAAGCACTTTTTAGCTAAAATAACTAAAGTAAAAGTGCTATATTTCTATAATATTAGTATAAATTTAAATAAGTTTCTAGGAATATTACTTTATATAAGTTATTATAAAAGCTAGTAAACTTATAATTAAAGCGTTATTAGAAGGGATATATTTAGAACTAAAGTATAAGAAATAAAGTTAGTAATCTATAAAGGTAATATTACTCTTTTTTAAAAGCTTTTTTATTTTTATATTATTCTTATAGTCTCTAATATAAAAAGTATTATTAAATCCTAAATATTAAATATCTATCTTTTATAATAAGTATTTTAAGATAATATTAATATAGAAGTTATCTATAAGAGTAATATTTTAAAGCGTTAAGTCTTAGAGTTTATTTACTCTATTTAGGATATTATAAAAAACTTTTATACTTCTTACTATAATAAAATATAAAGTTATATTTATTTTAACTTATTTTTTTACTTTATAGATAATAAAACTTTCTTTAAAAAGAGAGATATTATTAACTAAGTAGAAAATACTATAGTTATTTAATATTATATTACTAAAGAGGACTTTTAAATTTTAAGTATAAGTTATATAGATTTTATTAAGTTTAAGTTCTAATATAAAAGCTTTTATTTCTTCTACTATAATCTCTATAATAATATCTTTAGTAATAATATAAGTTACTATATAGGATAAAAGGTTTATTTTAGAAGTAGAAGTAGTAGTTAATTTTTTTAATTTACTAGAGTTATTTTTAAATAACTCTTTCTTATTTTAATTTTTACTATTCTTAAACTTAAGAATATTAAGGTTCTTTATCGTAAGCTACCTCTTATAAGCTATTTTAGTATAAAGCTTAAAGTATTTTAGTTTATTAATTCTAAAATAAACCTAAATTATTTTTTTAAAGTTTATATAAGCTTTTTTACTTATAAGAGTAAACTTAAAGTAATTATAAGTAGATAAGGTTTACTTATAGTCTTTTCTATATATATAGTATAAAGTTAATTTACTTTATAAGAGCTTTTCTAAAATAAAGTTATTAGAAATTATATTATTAGATTATCTAGTTAGTATTATAAAGATTTTATTAATATAACTTTTTAAATAAGTATTTATTATATCTTTATAGAGAAAGTTTTTAAATATATTAATATATTAATTTATACTTTAAATCTTAGTATTAAAACGCTCTTATTTAATAATATTAATAAACTTTAGATTAGTTTAAGATAGAGTAAAATAATATTAAATTACTTAGAAAAAGGTTTTTAATATAAAGGTTCTTTATATTTCTAATAGCTTATACTAAGAAGCTTTAAAAAGTATATTTTAGAAGTTCTTAATCTAAATATTAAGGTTAATAGTAGAAACTACTTAATCTAAAATTATAATATATTCTTTATAAATTATAATAAAGTTATTTAAATTACTTAAAGTGTAGTATTACTTTAGAATATATATTAAAGTATAAAAAATATAATCTTTTTTCTTAAAAAGCTCTATTTAAGTAAGTATAAAGATCTCTTCTAAAATAATATTCTTAACCTATTTATTTAAAGCTTTATATACTTACTCTTTCTATATATACTTTACTTTATAAGCTATATATATAGTGAGGTATAAAGTATAAAACTTAAGGACTTCTATAAATCTCTTAATAAGAAGAATAAGTATAATTAATACTAATAATAATAAGTTATTAGTAGTTTCTTTAAACTTTTTTTTTTTAAAATTTTTATTTTTAATAGTATTACTTTTTATAGTAGTTTCTTAAGTATTTAAAGTAATAGAAATATATAAAGTAATAATTTTATTATAAATTTCTTATTCTACTTTATAGTATTTATATTACTTTTTATTTTCTTTCTAAATTTAATTATTAAGTAAAAATATACTTTTAATTTTACTTAAGTTAGAAGAAGTATTAGAAGTATTATTTAAGTTAATATATTTCTAAATATCTTTAGCTTTTACTTCTACTTAAAAAGTAATATATTAAACTAAGAAATTATAATAAGAAGTAAGTTTATAAGAAATACTTAAATTAATAGTTATTATTATATTAAGAGTATATTATAAATTAAAAATAATTATAAAGATAAAGTTTTAGAATTAAAGTAAAATATAATAGATATAAAATAAATTAAATAAAGTTATAATTTATTTTATAAATAATAATTTAGAGGTATAATATAAACTAAGTTTATAACTATTATAAACTAACTATAATATATATATAGTATCTATATAAATAAAATAGCTTAATTCCTTCTAAATTAGAGTTTAATATAAAAGGTCTTTTAAAGAGCAGATCCTAACGCGCTAGAATATTATTAGTTTAAATAAGTAGGTTAGAAGTAGGTCACCTTATACCTTCCTCTAGGCGTAAGGCTACCTTAGATGCTTAAGGGCATTACAATAATATTTAAATACGACAACCTCTTGAATTTCATAACTGCTTCAAACGTTAACTCTCATCTTAGATCTCTTAGGTTATCTATTAATGACCTTGAAAGACTTGAGAATGATGCTTGCATCACTGCATATGGGAGCAATCTAGACACTGAACGATCAGATGTAATTCTAATACTAGACCCTGATATGATTCCTGCGAACTTAACACTCGAAGATTATAATTATCATTATTCTACGATCAACCCCTTTAAAAGTTCTACATACCTTGACTGGCAGTGCATCGACTCCACAGCCCCCGCATCTGCAACGACCAGCGACGAGTTGTTTACGTCTTGTGAAGGGCCAAACATTGCTTCAGCATCAAAGAACTGGACCTTGACGGTGTGGCCCAACAGAATTTCTTCTTCTTCAATTTCAAGACAATCGGCTTCAATACGAGTCGACTATTGTTTGAGCAAGCGAATCCATGGAGACTGCAAGTTAATACTGAATATTTACATGCTTGCCGTTGTCATAGCGTGTAATGCTCTCAAAATCATAGGTCTGGCTATTACGTGGTTGAACCTAGACAAGAAATCCTTAATGACGCTTGGAGGCAAGTGGAAAGCACTCAAACATTTTGAAGAAGGCGTTCAATGCAATACGAAGGATTATTAACTTTTTGGCACAGATGTCATGGCTAGCTTTCTCGACCGTCCCGACCATACCACACGAGATTATGGACTTTTGAGTAAGCCTAACTGGAAGCCTATTTCATGGCTAGCCGGACCTCAGGTTTGGCGCCCGAAAGACCGTGTTTGGGCTGTTTCCGTTTCACCATTCCGATACCTTGGCACAATGGGACTGTATGTACAGTACCTAACCCTCATTGACATTTTAATGTTCTGACACGTCAACAGCGCTATCACAGCGATAGGCGTGGCAACTGGACTTCTCCTGAAAAGCTTCCAGGCGACCTACGATACTATGACCCCAGGCTTCAGGCTTCTTTGGAACGGTGGTCTGGGGGGCGGCTTGCTCAGCTCAAAGACATTGATCGGCCACAGCTATAAGGCTTATGACGCGATTGAAATGGCCCTTCTTGCAAACTCCCAACAGCTGGTGTTATCCCTACTTTATGCTGCAGTAAACGGCTTATGGACTTCTATGCTGGTCGGGTCCGAGTGGAACAGTTACGGGGAAAAGCGCAAGGGTCTTCGCACCTCATCACCGGTCGGTTGCCAACGGAAGACGTACTTCCTGTCGCTCCCATACGTAAGTAAGCACTCTTGTCACAAGCTCGACGGACGTGCACCGCGCCTTATATAGACATGCTAATTATCCGCTCTTCCTCGTGTAGAGATATGCAGTGCCTCTTTTGATAGCATCCGGCACACTACACTGGCTCATTTCACAATCCATATTTCTTGCCAGAGCTAGGCTGTACGATTTTGAGCAAACTGGAGAAATAGAATTCATCAACGCCTGCGGATTTTCGTGTATGGGTATCGTCTTCTCGGTCATGCTGGGCTCTTCGGTGATCTTTTTCACCATGGTCGCGAGCCTGAGAACCTTTGAAGCCAGGATACCCATCGGTGGCACTTGCTCCGCTGTGGTCAGCGCGGCTTGTCATCGGCCCAAGGAGGATGCGGATGCGGATGTTGAAATGGTTCAATGGGGCGCCAACAAAACCTTGAGTGGAAAGCGGGGCCTTTACTGTTGCATCACCAGTTATGACGTCGAAACCCCGCAGCGAGGAAAAAGCTATTTTAACTGCGGCCTGGCTTAGTATGTTGTATTTTGTATCCAGGGAACCCAGTTGTACGGCTCCCTTTTCTGGCGTAAGACGGCTTCGGGGAGGCGTGGAGAAGGCCGGCAAACGGCTTCGGGGAGGCGGGGCCAACAGACGGTCTCGGGGAGATGTGGGGTCAGAGGAGAAGGCGCTGCGGTGCCGGGCGGGCCATTTAGATCCCACCGCCGAGCGGGTTTCATAGTTCCAAATGGACGAGCTCACTGTACCGTCTTTCAAAACTTCGACCCAAGGTATAAATCTGTCCCAAGCTCCCGGACAGCCATTGTCTGATGCAGAGGAGAGCTAGTCATTGAAAACTTTCGCTAACACGATCTAAAGACGGCAGTTCCTCAAAAATCACACTCTCAACCGAAAGAACCACATAGAAGAGCATTCACGATGGCTGCAAACAACTTGGCCTCATTCAAGATATATCTGAAGGCATACAGTGACGCTGAATACGACAAGGTCGGGTCCTATTACCACGAAGACGTGTCGATTCTATTGCCGGACAAGCAATTTGTCTGCGGGCGGGTCAACTTCCTGGAACACTTACGCCGCACGCATGCCATCTTTACAGAAACTTTGAGCATCCGAACGATCATACTGCAGGCGGAAAGATCGTTTGTCATTATGGATGCATTTTTCGAGGCAAAGAAGGACGCTCCGCCTGAGGCCGTCGGCGGTAAGTCGTTTCGCAAGGGTGAGGTGGCCCATTTTGTTGTGTGGGCATTGTACCAGTGGTCGGAGGGCAAGATAAAAAGTATCGAGTGCGTGATGCGTGACACCACGACCTTTGAGCCCGGTAGCACGAGTATTACTGCACTGGTGGAACAGAGTCGACGTATCGCTGATGAAGGAGTGGCTCTTTAGGAGTTGGGCAGTGGGGTTTGACTTGCCAACAATGTCTCTATACCTACACACAGGGCATAGAAGGCAGCCAAAAGTCAATGCATTAAATGCATCTCTGCTACTATATGCCCCCATTACTGAGAAAACAGTCTGGCGGTTACTCAGTCTATTGAATATGACAAACATAATCAAGAAGCGCTCTGCTTTAGAACCTCCTTGATCGGCACATGAGCCTCCACATCAAGTATGCTCTGGCCTGTTCCTCTCGTTGTAATCCTAAGTAGTGAGTCTCGTGACTGTTCTTGGATGGCACTCGCCCGAGGCCTTCGCACGCTATCCCACAATCTCAGTATCTCCGGGATATGGCTGGGATCGTCCACATCAGCGAGGAGGTCACATAGACCATCGGCGTCTTCAAGTGCCTGATTTGCTCCTTGGCCTTGGTACAGGACCATGACATGAGCTGCGTCGCCAATCACTACTGTTTTCCCTTTGAAGTAAGATTGGAGAGGCTTGACATCTCGAACTTGACATAGCTTTAAAGAGGATGCGTGACTGAATCGAAAACGTATTAGCTCAAGCTCCTGTGGTGCAAGGTGGGCATGAAGGGTCCTTACCAAACAACTTCAGTGAGCCAGTGAGGAAACCCCTGCAGTGCCCTCAACAAGTCATCTGTGCTTCCATTTGCCGTCCAAGAGTGGCTCAGAGTTCCAGAGTTGTGGACGAAAGAGTCGGATATGCCAATGGCAAAATTGACTTGGGTGAAATCGCGGCATGGATAGACCACGATATGCCGCAGATCTTCGTTGCCGGCAGTGAAGATGCTGCCGAAGACTCCCTCTGGGCTATCCCTCAAAATGGCTTGCGCTTCGTGATCTTTGGCCATGGCGACTTTCACAGTTTCCATCGGTAGATCAAAGCGGAATAACGACACTCCTGAAGGGATGGGTGCGGGATGATCTGAAACGATGATGGGTCGAGTTCGGGAGTGGATCCCATCGGCTCCTGGACAACAGAATCAGCCACGCCGGCAAGAGTGTGAAGTATTACACCAACCGATGACCAAATCAGCGCGTCGGCAAGTTCCATCAGCAAAGTGTATTTCTCCGATTTCAGGCTCGACGGTCGTAATATTGGCGTCGAAGACCACCTCGATCGGTGCCAATGCCTCATCTACAACGGCGAGTCTTCGGAGTAATGCCTCTCGAAGATCTTGGCGGACCAAGAGCCACAAAGGGACTTCTCCATCAGCTGGCTTTGGCATCAGAGCGACCCTCGTTTCTTTCCCCTTCATGTTGAATGTTCGATAACCTGCCGCCATTACACCCTTGACGTCTTTTCTGTGAATACCAAGTTTCTGTCAGACCGTGACGCCATGGTCGCGAATTCCGAAGCCAGCTGAAGGCTCCCGCAAATGAGCTGCTCGAAGTTCGTAAACCGTAACTTCGTATTGGGAACAGTGTCGAAGAGCCACAGCTATGGCAAGACCTGCTATGCCTGCGCCAACTACGGCGACGTGAATCTTGGATTCCGATGGAGACATGATTCTTGTTCAAATGCTACGTAGAATGTGACGGGAGAGGAATGGTTGCCTGTTGCTGGAAAGTGCTAGCTGTGTCTATGCTATATGGTTCATCGGGTGTCTGTCATTCATATCAGGAAGATGACGGGCTTATCGGAGATCGAAGAAACGGATCGGAACTTGCTTGAGCTGCGAAGCCGATCAGTGCCAAGCCCCCGTACCGGCGAATTCATCTTGTATCTGCTTCACAGATGGACCAGATGAATGGCAGGGTCTGCAATGGATGATATCACTGTCTAAGGCGTTGGTTGGTGCGGCAGGTAGTACATAACCCGAAAAGCCGCCGAGATTTCGATTTCTCTCATGTTTCCCTAAATAGTTATAGAATTACGATTGACCATCTTATAATTGTGCGCCGTCGTGTAACTGGCGTATCGACAGATACACTGTCTCAAAGGTCCGAAGTCAGAGAAGACATAGCAGATAATATCTTCCGTTGAAACGAAACGTCCCTGGATTAATCCACCTAGTTCTTCCAGGCTGTACAAATGAGCCGCCAGGACGAAGTTCTACTCTCGCCTTCAGGATCACTCAAAACATGTGCAAGCAATGATGTAAAGGCTTTCAGTTGGCTGCCAGGAGTATAAGGGGTCGTCAAACGGGTTGTTGTTCGTGACGGCGGAGACATCTTCAACCATTTCACCCGAGACCTCTTCGTTTGCCATCTTGCACTAATATGAAGCCGTTTTACATTTCTAATTCCTTATCACGTGTTACCAATATTTCTCGTACTGTCGCTGTAGAGCGGGAGAGCATTGCCTCAACTCCTAGCCACGTCATGCGTGAGCTTGCCGGCTGATGGGAGACGCCGAACTCTGAACATGACAGCCACAGAACTAACGTACCGCCATACGCCAATCAACCGCCTGGGTCACATCGGGGCACGGGCGATCATGTCAGTTTGGGCTGGTGTGGAAGGCGGGGAAGACGGACTGCGGGTGCCAATGTGCACTCGGTAACTTATTTCCAAGTCAGGTAGTGGGTAACCGAGACAGCAAGGACAGCGGAGAGCACGGAAACTTGAAATACGTCCGTCTTCCGAGGCCCTGGGGACATTCAGAGAAAGGCTATTTCCAACCAGGGAGGAACCTCACTGTGACAGGTGCGCCTAATCGGTACATACTACATTGTAATGGCTACAAGCATTCGCAAAGGCCTCTCTTCAGCGAGTATAAGGTACCAAACAGACGAAAGCTCTTTGCTGCCAAAACAAATATCCATGACAACTGCCAAAGGAGATACACCTGTCCCGCTGTTACTTGGACCTGGGTGCGACCTGGCTAGCGTCCTCCTGAAGTATAGTTCTCAGCGACCAGTAAATCAATTCAGATTGGACAGATTGGTCAGAGGCATTTCTCGGTCTCTCTTTCTGGGTTGTACCTTCACGTAGAAGTTCACAGGCTTTACAAAGAATGCGTTGAAGGTTTTCCAAGATCCGCTCGGCGTGGCCGCTGCACCTTCAAGCTTAAAATCAAAGTCGCGCACAATCCTGGGGATAAGCTTCGATATCTCAAGGATGGAGATGTTTTTGCCCAAGCAGGTTCGTGACCCCAAGCCGAACTGCCATAAGAATACGTCAGCCACCAGTAGATACGTATCAGCAGGGAATAAAGTTCAGTTCATCTCACCGGTGTCCAATTTCTGTTCATAACTGACAACAACTTGGTCTCGTCACTAACGAGCCAGCGATCCGGCCGGAAGTGGTCAGCGTCATCACCGAACAAAACCTTGTCCCGATGCTGAACCCAGCTGTTGATGCCAACGACAGCCTGCGAAGGGAGTAGAGAGCGTTAGCAACAAGAAAGCGACTAACAGGAAATGATCAATGCAAAGCTTACCCCTTCAGGAAAGAACCTACCACCAATCGAGGCACCACCTTCAGGCACAACTCGTTCCAATGGTAATCCAACGGCTGGGTGCACACGTAAGGCCTCTTTAATAACAGCTTGAAGGTAGGGCATTTGCTGGCTCTCCTTGAACGTAGGTGCTTTCGAAAGCTCACCACGGCTAGTGAACTCGTCGATTTCTTGACGCAGCTTCCTCATACTCTCTGGACTTTTTAATAAGTTGTAAAGGATAGCCGATAGGCTGAGGCCAGTGGTGTCGGATCCAGCAAACATGTTGGCTGCGCAGCCTGCGAGGATATACTCGTTGGTGAAGTTGGGATCGCTGGAATGCTTGGCCAGAAATTTGGTGAGGAAGCTTTCCTTGGCAGCCGCCCCATCTTCTTGGCCACGTACGTCAACAACCAACTTTGGAGATGCTCGTTCAGCGTCGATTATCTTCTGGGTGAAATTCGGCACAAACGTAACTGACCCATCTCCAAAGAAACGTTCGAAGACGCTCAATAGTACCATCGCATACTTATGCAAGGAAGGGAAAACACCAACCAAGCTAGCATGTACGAGGGCCATATTGATATTCTTCATTACGCTAGAAATGTCTTCCCCCCGGTCTAAGAACCCAAGACGTTTCCCGTAAGTCATCATCGCGATAGCATCGAATGCAAAGCATTGAAACCAGTGACCGAAGTCAGCTGCGAATCCTGCTTTTGAAAACTCGTCGAGTCGTTGACAGAACAGTGCGCCGCATTCGTCCAAGTAGGGTTCGTAATGGACGAGAGAAGTCATCGAGTAGGCACTAGAGTAGAACCGCCTAGAATAGGCGTGGCGCTTGATATCTTGTTCCGCAAAGATGTTCACCCTTCGACTATCAGGCGTCGTTGCGATATACCAGTCTGACTTGCGGAACTGCGTGGCGTGGCCGTAGATTGTCTTGGTTGATTCCGCATCATTGATGCTATATCGGTTTGGACCGTAACGGACGATCGGGCCTGACAGAAGCATGAAACGGTTAGGATTTTCGGGGTACATGGCAGATTGGCGTTACCATATTGTTCATGCAGTTGTAGGTTGACCTTTTCGAAGCTGCCCTGCTTAACACGATAGAGGTACCATAGATCAGTCAAGCGTGCTAGGGGCGGCCCAGGTACTGATCTCAAGGGACTTCTAATCCACTTGATTAAGGCGACCGTGAGTTTGGCAAAGAATGCGAATGTCGCGATGACCAAGAACAGTTGGACATTCATCACGAGAAAGAGTTGTGCGTATGGAACAAGTTGCACAGGTCGGGGTTGGGCAGTAAAACTCAAGATTGCATGAGAAAACTGATCTAGATATAAGAAGAGAGATCCCCTGCGGAAGGCGGGTGGACGGACACTTATTATGGTTTCATGGGAAATATGAGGCTTCAATGGCTTAGTCGATCATTCATAAATACGAGTCATAAACAGCCTTGAAGTTCTTATTAGTAGTACACCTTTACAATGCCTGTAAGTACACCAATACAGGCATCCCAAAGGTTCGCTTAGTCCTTGCGGGGCTTGATCATCGGTGTACAATCAATTGGGTACGAGCCACGGCGCCTAGGCCATGGCTGGGCGCGGCCAACTCGGGCTTGACGAACGCCCGAGAATACCGATGGCTCTATTTTCCGAGCAACATCGGCGCTTATGACATCGTCAACGCTGCTGGAGCTTGCGCGAAACTATGTCTCAGGAAGTGAGAGTGTCGGAACTTGAACTACAGTAGTGGAGGCCAGGCGCACCGTCATACAGGGCAGCCCTGACAGGACTCCAAGGTAGCTCTAGAAGCATAGGTAGTAGGCATTTCAAGCTTTCTATAATGGCCTTGGTGATGATGTTCTATCCCTGCATTCATCGTCAAGCAATTCATTCCAATTATTCACCACCTTGTGATGATTGCAACTTCGCAATCCATAGAGTATGCAGGTTGGTCACTTGAGCTTTTCCTCATGACCAATCGCTTAGAAAGGCCTTCCGTACGTCACGTGCGTGCCAGCGCTCTACTGTGATAAGCATTAAAGTCGATCTCGTGCTACAGATCAGGCTGCACTGGTATCTTCAGCGATGACGCCCGAACGCAACCCTACCCCTCATCGCCTAAGGACCCGCTTCCTGCTCCTCTGATAGTTCCGGGCCAATCTATTTTCAGGCAACTGATGCGTTCCATCCCATAAGACACAATGAGCTTTGGCTTCGGCGTGGGTGATTTCATAGCGGTCTTCGACAAGGCAAAGAAGTACAAAGACCGCTTTAGAGACGCTCCAGATCATTTGGACTCTCTCAATCGCGAGTGAGTACGCCGAAGACAATTCAGCTCAGGCCTGTTGCTTACCTGTTATAATCAGAATCACGGCACTTTGCGCAGTGCTCCAGGGCATTGATCTCATCAAGGACGATTTGGACGACTATGAAACCCACGCCCTGGAGGCCCCTGTGAGGGAGTGTTCGAAGCTTCTGAACGAAATCGAGAGTTTATTCAAAGCCGATGATCATTCGAGTCAGCAGTCTAAAGTCAGCAGGCTCAAGCGCATCAAATTAGACGTGGATCAGGTACAGAAGCTCCGACTGAGAGTTTCGCTGAATGTTCAGCTTCTACATGTTGTAAAACAGTTCAAAGACAGGTTAGTGTACGGCCTGAACTTCCGGTGATGTGATGGAAGACAGACAACAAGCTTCTAACTACGGTGGACAACAGCCATGCCATCAAAGTCATTAGAGACCAAGTGAGTACTTTGAAAGACGACTCCGCGAACCAACAGAGACAAAAGATTCTCGAGTGGCTTGACCGCGACAACTACTACCCACAATACCGGAAGCACCTCGAACGAAGACAACAAGGCTCTTGTCAGTGGTTTCTAGAGTCAACCGGTGTTCAGACATGGATAGCCAACGAGGGCGATGGTCTTCTATGCCACGGTATACCGGGTTGTGGCAAGACCGTCATATCATCGATTGTAATCGATCACCTGTTTCGGCAATTTGGGCGCGAAAAAGATATCGGCATATTGTTCATTTTCTGCGATGCTTAGGACCAGGAGGAGGGGACATTTCATCGCTATGTTTCCAACGTAACAAAGCAGCTGGTCCAAGCGCAAAGCGAGATCCCTGCCAGCGTACGGGAGTTGTACGAGATGCACCAAAAGCTTCACAGTTCCCGCAGAGAAATGGACACAGTTGATCTACTCTTCCGCCTGGCAACTACCTGTACCAGTCGCCTGTTCATTATCGTCGACGGCTTGGATGAGTGCCAACCTAATGTGCTGCGGAAGTTGATACAATGGATTTCCCAGTTACAACGGGACGGGGAAGCTAATGTGCTCTTGACTACGCGGCCAATTCCTGAAATTGTAAACGATGCGAAATTGAGTCGCTGCCGGTATTTCGAGATCCGGGCTCGGGATGATGATGTGCGACAGTTTGTTTCAAGCAGCATACCGAGTATGAGGTTCAAGGAGCGGGACGACCCTCTGCTCCAGAAAGAGTTTACAAGCGTTATTTCGAAAAGAGCCGAAGGAATGCTGAAACTAATTGGCCTAGGTTCCTCTTGGCTGAGCTCATGGTTGAATCGGTAAAGGACATGCGCACGCCGAGACAAGTGCGGAAAGCCTTGTATGGCGCGCCTCGGAGATACACCGAGTACTACCATGATGCCTGGATGAGAGTCAAAAAGCAGAACGAGACCGACTCCAGGCTTGCTATGAGCGTCATTTCATGGGTCGTGTGCGTCAAAAGGCCCTGGGGGATCGCAGAGCTCCAGCATGCTCTTGCAACTGAAGACGAAGAGCAAATCTACGAGGATAACATCTTTTCGGCAGAGGACATTCTATCTGTCTGTCTTGGACTGGTGCGCGTAGATGCCCACTCAAATGTCCGCCTTGTTCACCAGACTGCTGTGGAATTTTTTGAAGCCGAGAAGAACAACGCCGGCTTTTTTCCAAGCGCGGACGCTGAGATGGCAAGCATATGTGTGCGGTATCTCTCTTTCGACCAAACTCGACGGTCCGCAGAACGGTACAGTGGCGAACCTCAAAATATCCATTTCGGACACACACTTGATAAGAACATCCCTTTTGGGCAATATGCGGCCGTGCACTGGGGAGACCACGCTCGAGACGCTCGGCGGTTTCCTTATTGTGTCTGGGAGTTTCTTGACAACCCAGCGGCCCTTGCCACATCTTGGAAAATGTTTGCAAAAGCGCGTACGGGGAAGGTTCCTCTAAAAAGAGCTCATATAGCTGCATTGTTCGGGATATTACATGTTTTCGAGGGACGGTTCTTGACGCCAGAGGAAACATTCGCGTACGAAGGTGACCCTCGAAGAATGCCGGTCTACTTCGCCGTACGAGAGGGTCATGCGGATGTTGTCAAGCTACTCCTGGACTCACCCGCTCTTCTGCGTCAATTGAGAGTGCCTGAAACCTTTCACGAAAACGTTTTCCATTCTCAAAACCCAGCCCCTCATTCAGCGATTCGCGCGATGCTTGCGGAAGCTGTTGAAGTCCGCTCCGCTACAACAGTTGATGTACTAATCAAATTCTGCTCTCGAGAAAAGCTTCGGGCGGAGGTCCCCAGAGAAACCTGGCCACTCGTTGATCGAGCTTCACGGGAGGATACATCAGTACTCAAAGCGCTTGTAGGCCAGCACGATACTGCAGAGGGCTTCAGCATAGAGACAATAGCGGAATTGGGTCTTCAGATCGAGCCGTCTTTGGTTTCGTACACACCCTTGCTATATGCCGCCTCGAAAGGAAACGTCGGCGTTGTTGAGCTTCTTTGGCGCATTGGGGCGAATCTCGAGGCACGCGATGGTCTGGGAAAAACTCCTTTACGCTGCGCTGTCGAATCTGGACGATTAGATGTGGTCATCAGACTGCACAATTACGGAGCCAAAGTTGACGTTGAAGGCAGAGAAGAACCTCTTCTTTCGCTTGCGGCAAGATCAGGCAATGTCGATGTCGTGTACTACGTGATCAACAATTTGGGTCAGAACCCAAACGAAAAAGACGTCGACAATCATTTGCCGATACAATCGGCATTGTCAAGTTTAGAGCGCTGTTATTCCTTGAGCAAGTTACGAGACGAGTCCGTTGAAAGACATGAAGAAGTCGTCAAGGTGTTCCTATCAAAGTTGGACATCGATAACCCCCAGTCTATGTACCAATCTGCTTTGCAATTGGCACTCGAAAACAAAAGTCCGAGCTTACCGCACTATGTGGCTTCCGAAATGATCAAAAACTCGAATTCAAGCGACCCTCAACCTCTTTACCATTCTATCATGCGACAAGCCATCATGTATGGCAAGTGCGATATCGTAGACTTGTTGATAAGTCAAGCGGACTTTGACATAAATGGGAGAAGTGAGAACGATACAACTGCATTGGAAATAGCGCAAGAGTATGGATTCCGCAGGATATGTGAGGCTCTACTGGATGGTGGCGCTGTCTCTGGTGACATCGAGACATTGCCTACAGGGCTGCAAAGGGTGAAGATACCTGGGGGATGGTATTACTGGAAAAAGCGACGCTGACCTATGAGAATCTCAAGAGACCTTTGCGCGTGCTCGAAGGTAGAAACTCTTTCCGCCAAGCTTGAAGCTAGACAGGAAAGTCCATCAAATGCTAGGGACAATGCACTGGGTGATATTGCAAACGGGTGACGTTATGAATAATCTTAACTTTATCTACTGAAGTTGCTAGCGTTGTCTATGGGGCTGAACATCACCAGCATAGCATCGCACAAATGACTCGTAAGGAATTTTAGCATAAACCTACTATGCTACCACCAGGCACTTCAGACTTTTCCCCACCCTTCCTTAGACACCATACGCGGGGATGGATGAAGGTCAAAGCAGACCAAGAATAACAAAACAAGGTCTCAGACTATGCACGGTAATCGTAGAGACAGGGAAGATTACGCTTGGCCATTGAGAATGACAACCGACGGGGTCTCATCTACAGTTGACAATCTTGTGGGTATGGTCCACCCTAAGAAGATCGTGTCTGAGAACAAACTCCCACTAATCTCCCGACTTCTAGCCATTCCGGAATGATTCCTAGCTTGTCTTCCCTCCCGTCGTCGCTCAGCAAGAAAACTGGAAGCAGGATTGGTTGATGTCGCGGGGGCAGCAAACGTTGGTGTTTTGGTAGCACGTTCCACATCCACCTTGGCAAATGGAGTAAGCGCAGTTTTGTCGGATTTCAAGGTGATTAAGCTCGGCAGAGTCCCTCGCGTAAGTCTTGAGAGCCGGGTTGGCGCTGACCAGCGCGGTGAGCATAGCGAAAAGCAGGAACTTCATTCTGTGTAGTGTTAGAAATATCGTTGGGGCAGTGCGAGAGTTGAGTCGTTTTTCGCGTACCTGGCGAACTTGAAATGGATCGTAGTTTAGAGATAACAAAAGCGTAGTTAGAGTTGCGTTGAGGGTGTTGTAACTTTGGCTCACACTTGGATGAACTTGAAATTTATAGATGGAATTTGAGGAAATGATCAGTAAGTCCCCGAGCAATTGTGCTAGTGATCGGAGTTGATTAGTTGTTGTCATGGGGCAATTAATCAATCATACTTTCCTAGAAGTGAATCCCGTCGGGCTGTACGAGACGCTCGTACACCTCTGGTGGAGTAGAGACAATGAATATCCTTATGTAATCGGCATAAATCTGAGGAACACACCGAAACACTGAGAAACTCTTCACAACCAACGGAGTAATCCAGAGTAGATGCTTGGATTTGGGGTAAAATTGGACCATAAGGTGGATAAGTCTCTCGGGCTTTATGCGGAAGCCGACGGGATAGTTGGGAACCTGGAAGTCAAATAGATCAGCTCTCGGTTCCTCATTGAAGATCTCAGCCATAAACTGATCCTTCTCAATTGAATCAACTCCACACACCGCAGGTCCAGTCTGGCGCATCCATCACCGGCTGGGTACCCGTCTACGCCGCCGACAAGTCCCACTTCTGCCCGCCCTGGACGCCACCGGAAGAGCATAACGTGATCCCCGCGCGTCTCTCGCCGTATGGAGCGTGACCCTCAGTCGGAGAACACGTCTTCCGCTTTGCAGACCCGGTCTGCTTCCGAGAGGATCAAGACACACCGGCCGAAGTGGATGTGTTCCCCGGATGATTGGCACCCGATGCCGACGCACAGTCACATCATGGAGTGGGGCTGACGCTGGGCTTCAGCTGAACAGGTCCATCACCTTGACAGAGTGATTCACAGTGATCACAGATTGTGGCTGGGATCACTGAACCACGTAACGCTCAACATGGCTGCTGTCAAATTGGCGAACACATCATAACCTTCATGATGTAGTCTTCCAGCTCGTCACCACTCATCATGAACGAGACATGCACCCACCAAATATTCACCAGTAAAGCCACCCAACAGCTACACATGTGCAGCTGCAGCTTCCCCTGAAAGCCGGTAATCTCGGAGCCAAACAGGCGGCGAGGAAAATCACACCACAAACACACCACCGGGAAGTGGGTCGCCCGGGGTGAGGGCGTTCTCAAAAATGGGTCTCAATCGCCTGCTCTTCAGCTGCGAACCGTTCAAGTCTGATGGTAAAAACACTCAAAGTTGATCAATTCCCGTCTCCAGATTCGCCAATCTGATCAATTCTCCATTTTGACCAGTGGAAGTGTCAAAGTCCAAATGTCATTCGTATTCGGTTTGGCGGTCCCCTGAGGGCCTGGATTCGCTGGAAAACATGCAAGTTGTCGTACCACACCAGAGCGGATGCCGATGAATTTTTATCGTGCCATCGGCGTCTGCACACCCCTGCCACACACGCCGCTTTCTTCCAGAAAAAAGGGACATGTTCCAAAGCCCGCCAACAGAAGGAAGCAACTTCTCCACCGCGGCGCGTTGATTTATATACTTCTTTCGCCCCCTTTGCTGTCGAAGTTGTTCGCATCTCGAAATCAAAGTTGCGTTGCGCATCTGTGTTTTGTGTGTTTCCCGTCATTCCTTTGCAGCAGGGGTTGCGTCCGATACCATGGCGACCTCAGTAACTTGGTAGGTCACCACGAGTCGCACCGAATCGAAAGAGTCGCATCGAGCTTACACAACTCCTATAGGAACGCCACCGTCGTGTTCCCCAACCAGACCGCCTCTCACCAGAGCTACCTCGGCGTCCTCGACGACGTCAACAGGTACAATGTCCAGCTCAACACCTTTGAGCGCCTCTGGGCAGCTTGGTACCTGTGGATGCAGAACGACATCCTCGCAACGGGCATCATGACCTTCGTTATGCACGAGGTCGTCTACTTCGGCCGCAGTCTGCCTTGGATCATAATCGACGCGATCCCCTATTTCCGTAGATGGAAGATTCAACAGGTATGCTCCATCCATGCTCCACGGAGGAGGAGGATCCTCATCACCACAAACACCGGAGTCCGACCCGGGCTTTGAAGGACCTGTCGACTAACTCATCAAACCCACAGCAAAAAATCCCCACATGGAAAGAGCAATTCGAATGCGGCGCCCTCGTCCTCTTCAGCCACTTCACCGTCGAACTCCCTCAAATCTGGCTCTTTCACCCCATCGCGACCTGGTGCGGCCTCGACTATGGCGTGCCATTCCCGCCCGCGTGGAAGATGGCCTACCAGATCGCGATCTTCTTCGTTCTCGAAGATACCTGGCACTACTGGATGCATCGCGGCGCCCACTGGCCGCCGTTGTACAAGGCCGTACACAAGATGCACCACTACTATTCCGCCCCATTCGGCATGACCGCTGAATACGCCTCCCCGATCGAGGTCATGTTCCTCGGCCTCGGTACTGTCGGTTCGCCTATCCTCTGGGTGTTCATCACCAAGGACCTGCACCTGTTCACGATGTACCTCTGGATCGTGCTGCGCCTGTTCCAGGCCATCGACTCGCACTCCGGATACGACTTCCCCTGGTCCCTGAGACATTTCCTCCCCTTCTGGGCCGGAGCCGAGCACCACGACGTGCACCACGAGAAGTTTATCGGAAACTATGCGTCGAGCTTCAGGTGGTGGGATTATATCATGGACACGGAGGCCGGTGCCGAAGCCCACCAGCGCAGGCGCGAGGCCAGGATCGCCAAGGCGAAGAAGGCTCAGTAAACCAATTCTACTCAATCGGCTGGCCGTCAGGTGTGATCAGTAAAAGACTCGGATTGGCTCTGAAGTGGCATAGTCGTCGCCGATGTGAATCGGCCTTCATTCTTTCACGGCCTGCGACGACTTTTATGATGAATTGTAATTGCATTAGACTTACATATTAATACAACGATCGCTCATATCATGTAAAGGGCGTTATCAATATTGGAATAAGCCTTCATGAATATCTGCTTATTGCAGCCTAGTCTGAGGCCATGTCGCTGACGACCCCTCATTGGCGGCAGTGCACATGTTCAAAAGCTGACTCGCCCCTCAAAGAGGTCATGGCGTATTGTTTCTCTAGGCATCACCCATCTGAAACACCAAAGACTCAGCGGTATGCCAGCATTTGGGGTAGCGAAAATGACCTTCAATGAGATCAACATGGAGAGGCTGAGTCTGGGTGGTAAGCTGGCAATATCTCTGGAGAATCTCCCGACCGAGCTCATTCACCGCATCGCGTCGTACTGCGATGTCGCCGACGTACACGCCCTCACCTGCGTGTCCCGCGCTATCCGCATGTCATGCAGCAATCCCTTTGTCTTTCAAGCTCAGTTCTGCCACCATGTAAGAGCCAAATATTATAGACACAATTGCTTCATCTCACAGGTTTACCAGGCACCCGATCCCGAGTCCAAAACAGTCCCAAACAAGTACACGCTGGCGCACATTGTCAACAGCGCCTTGATCAGCCGACCCGAATCCGACGCAAGAACTATCTGGTCCCACCTCGCCGCCGTCGCCTCAACCCTCCCAAACCTCTCGGACGAACTCGATGAGCTCATGCTCCCCTACCGAGCAGTGTCTTGGCAATCCGCCGGCAGTGTCAAACTTCCCAGCTCCGAACTCCTCCGGAAGACCCAAGCTTTGATCGGCACATTCTCCACTTTCGCCGTCCTCGGGTGTAAGCTCTCACGCATCCCCTCTTGACGCCCTCGCTAAAATGAGAGTAAAGATATCCCTTCTATTGACCTAGGCGTCGCCGCAGCGACGACAGGCCTCCTCATCACCCTCACAGATCCGCACAACTGGGCCTCCTACATCCACGTCTTGCCCCAGATCAACAGGCTCGTGCGCCAGCAAGCTTTCGTCCTCGCGTTGGGCCTGCTGCAGACACAGGTCTTGAACAACCTAGGCATCATGGCATACCACCTCTCCAAGATGGCAACCTGGGACGACACGCACACCGCCTTCCACCGCTTCAAGACGTCGTGGGAAGGGAGGCAGACGGCCGCGTTATTGGTGCAGGTTCTGCTTGCGCACCTGCTCCGAAGCAGCTTTTCGGCAAGGCCGGCGAGCGAATATCTGCCGTCTCCGCGGAGGCTCCCGCTGGCGATGGTGCATGATGAAGCGGGAGGTGCGATTGTGCCGCTGCCGGACCCGTTGTCGCCGGAGCAGGCTGAGCGAAGGCTCACGGCGTTTTCATCGACTGGGTCCTGGGACCGGTGGAACCGAAGGTACGTCCGCCACCTGGCGCAGGAGATGGAGGACGGAGAGTGGTACGGGTACTTCACCTGGGACACGGCGCGCAATCAAGCGACGTTTCTCGAGACTGGGCCGATTGAGAACATACGGTTCAGGTTTGGTGCGAAGGAGTCCGCCGATGGCACGATCGAGGTCATTGCCGATAACTGCAAAGAGCCGTCTGGTCTATTTGCTCTTCACGGTGAAGTTGATACGTCACTGCATAGCATCATGCTGAAGAAGATCAGCCCAAGGGGGGTTGAGTGCAATTATCGTGGTTGGTTCACTCCATTAGGTATTGCTGGAACCATGAATCCATCGCCATGGGGCTTGCCAGGGTGGTTCTGGATTTGGAAGAAGGAATGGATGGAGGACACTCCATGTAAATGATTTTGATAGTGCTTTACAACGGTGATTATGCCACGAAGCTAATGAATTCGCGGTGAATTTTCATTTTGATCCAGTATCCTAGACGATAGGACGCGTCCTGGATCACCATCAGGCCCTGGGTGCCAAGTGCACATTCACAGGCCCTTTCTGCCACAAAATGTAAACCTCGCTCTCATCATACCACTTCTGGATGTCTTCTGTGGCACGGATGTCAAAGTTCCAGATCAGCCTGGCCAAAATCAGGCGCATCTCTGCGTTGGCAAGACTAAATACGGAAGTTGTGTAAGCAAAGGCTCGATGAAGAGGGAAAGGAGTTCGACGCAAATAAATCACATACTTCTTTCCAATACAGTTTCGAGGGCCGATTGAGAAAGGCTGCAGAGCTTTCTTCGCATCGTTGGCAAACCTCGGGTCGTCCAGCCACCGTTCAGGGATGAATTCCTCTGCTCTGGCGAAATGGTCGGGATTGTGATAGACGGCCCATTGCCATACGTCGATAGTTGTCTATAGTAAGGATCCAAGTCAGCTCAAACACTGTCTCACTGCCCACAAAGAGTCCAGCAGAAATATGTCCTACCCCTTGCGGAACAAACTCGCCCAGAATGTCGTCGCCTCCCTCTCCGGCCATGCGCGGGCTGGAACTGGGAACGGGAGGGTACAGCCTCATACTCTCATCCAGCACCGCCGACATATACGTGAGATTCTGGACGCTGAGCATGTCAATCTGGTCCTCGCTTTCGAATGCTGACCTGACTTCGTCGTTGAGCTTCGCCAAGGCGTCGGGATTGGTTGCCAAGAAAAAGGTGGCGGCGGACAGCAATGTGGCCGTCGTCTCAGAGCCAGCGACAATCAAAACGAACGCATTCGACGTGAGCTCCTCGAAACTTATCGTCTGTAAATGATCAGAACCAGATCTCCACATCAGCTCTTATTGCATTTCAAACTTACAGCACCGGCCGATTCAGACTTTCTGATCATAGCATCGATGAAATCAGGACGACTGGTCCCAAGATCCAGCCTCTTCCGCAGCTTCTCTCTAGACAACTCTTTGTTCTCTGCAAACTTGGTAACCAGGCTGCGAGGAACAGTCATCATAAGCAAAGGCCCCACCCATGAAAGTCGTCTGCTGCTAGTCAGGAAAGCTATATTTTTGATACTTTTGAAAATGATGTCGACCCATGGGTGATACGTCTCGCTCTCCAAACACCCAAACGGCTCGCCGAACGCCAAATCGCCAATAACGTCAAACGTCGTAAAGTTAAACCACCTCTCGACATCGACCGGACGGGATCCACCTTGCGATATTTCTTGAAGTTTCTCAAAGAGTTTGTCGACGTATTGCTTGATGATGGGCTGCTGTGCCAGCATGGTCTGAGCTGAGAACCCGTGGGCGAGGGCCCGGCGGAAGCGTTGATGGTCTCCACGATTGGAGCCGATGATGTTGTCTCGATTGGGGATGGAGTTGAGCAAGTCTTTGGGGTTCTCGCCTGTCTTGCGGTGGCCGCGCACATCCTGCATGCCGTCGGGGTGGTTGACGGATATGTGGGTTGGACCGACCCGGACGATAGGGCCGTACTGCTGATGGAGCTTCAAGATCTTTCGATGACCGTTGCCGGAGATGTAGAGGCGTACGTAAGGGATGTAGGAGATTGCCCATAGCTTGGGACCCGGAAATTTGCGCAGAGGGCTGAAGAAAAGTTGGTAGATGGCGTAGCCGAGTAGGTAGGCTAGGAGCTGGGAATCGTTGTTAGTGGTCGCTCATCTTCTTGACTGCAGTAGAGGAGCTTACGGAACCAACTGTGACAACTGGTGCCATCATTGCCAAGGATATGTCCCCAGCTCCATTCTCCAAGTATGACAACATCGCAGGGTTGGAATTCTCGAAGGCGGCCAGACTTTGGTAGGAAGATATTGCACAATGAACGTCCAGATAAGGTAGCCACCAACGGTTGTGATCTGAACTTTACTTCAATGCCACGGCTCATGGTCTTTTTACGTCAGATCAATGCCATCTGATGTGGGGTTCATCGGGTTCTGATACCCTCCGTACGGAGCCCTTCCGATGATCATCGAGCGGATTTCGGTACCAGACATATGCACCGTAGTCGCGGAGTTGTAATCGATACTACGGCGAATTTGAAACACCACTCAAATTGCATCGACTAGCAGCACAATTCACATGGACTTAAGAAAAAAGCCGGCTTTATCGACGATCCATGCATGAAGTAACGCCGCTAACCGCCCCGGAGCGGGCTTCTCCGCGCGGGGCCGGTCGGCGCTTGAACAAGTGCCGAGGCCGAAAAGCGGGCCGGAGATCGCTTTCATTTTACGAATTGCCAATCCGGGACATCATATTGGTTGATACGTCATCACCTCTTTCGTATAAATCCGTTGAGTTCTCCAGCTACTGTCTGATCGTGATCAATGAGGTTCGTCCGGTGCAACCAAATTCCTGCGTTCGTTTGATGGCAGAACCAGCCCACTTATTGGGACAGGGGTTTGCATGGAGGTGAGCCGGGTGGCTGGCTGTGCGTGGTCAAACACCATGTTCTTGTGATAAATCGTGATAAATAAGCTCATGTAACGACCGCCACCCTCAAAGCCGATGGGCGAAATTTCAATTGGTGAATCGGGCCTTAAATCCCTTTTAATTGCTGCAAAGGGAGAATTGGCTCACCCAATTCGCTTTGACTTGGGCTCACTAGCCTTACACCTGCCAAGCCCTCTCATTTTAAATAGGATGCAGTCAGCAGAAGCGAGCCCAAAGTCCCTTAGTTGCTCGTTTCTTTTCGCCCTGCGACGATGGAAAGCAACCGATGTTACTCAAAATGCTGCGCCGATGCGGCACGACGTATCCCAAATTGGCTTACTTTCAGCTTTTTCTACCAGGGCATGTTGAATTGCTGAGGCGAAGGATTCCTCGTAGGGGTCTCGATTGGATTCAGGCTGTAGGCTTATGATGAGTTTGGCCTCATTCGCGATGATTAAAATGATGGCACTGCCGCCTACATGTGGTGGGTTTCTTCTCTTGCTACCCACATATTCACTCATTTTTCGTTTCTTCGAATTCAGGTATCACGCTCGCTGTAATTGCGCACTCCATTTCAAACGCAACTTACGATAACGAAGATGTCGCGCTACATTCTCCCGGTGATCGCAGCCGCCGGTCTCGCCCTCGCCAAGACGGACATCGAAGGCTGCACCTCGTTCACCTCCACGGTCACCGTCCGCACCGAGATTGGCTACGGAAACACGTATGAGACGGTCATCTGGTACGTCCCAGACACCCTCGAGATCTGCCGAGGCGTCGATTGCGGCGGCGGTCGTGCCCCGCCCCGTAAGGTTCCCGGGTGTCCCATGTACTCCGGCACGGAAACCGTAACGGCGAGCTTCCTGTCGACAGATCCGGCCGCCCCGGTAAGCACGGTGGTCACCGTTACACCTACGAAGACCAGCACCGTTGCGCTTGTGACGGTGACATCGACTGAGAGCGGGGCAACGGAAACGGGCGCTTCGGAGACGGGCTCGAGCCCATCGGCAACTGGCGGCAGCGTCGAAGCTACCACGGTTTCTACGAGAAGCGTATCGGCAGCGACGGAGACTACGGGCGGAAGTGCGACTGGCACCGGAAGCGGCGCAGCGGCTTCAGGGACGGAGACACCGGCGGGAGCGGGGCCGACGGCAAGGGCTGGCTTAGCCGCTGCGCTGGGTGTCGCCGCTGCTGTTGCGCTTCTTTGAGAGTTAGAGGATCATGGGAGATACTTGTAATAAAGGCAGAGGGATGCACATAGTAATGTTAATCACAGTTTGGCGAATACGTGCCGTATGACGGATCACTGAGTTGTATCGGGGTGCTAATTTAAGCATCCAGCTCGCCAAGATGTTAACAAAGTTGAGGTCTTCCACAAGGCTTCATTCGTCCGATCTTTCAGAAATCCAGAAGTCTAACATGAGTTGAAGGCGGAGTAATCACAAGCAAATGAGCCGCGAGACTAATGCTGATGCGCAAAAAGGATTGCCCATAAACTTGAGCGACCCGCGACCCGCGACAGATCAAGTAAACTGATCCCCTAAGCACACCAAAATGTCGAAGCCTACAGTCATCCTCGTCCATGGAGCCTGGCACTCCCCTGCTCACTATCGGGAGTTCCTAGATATCCTCGAGAAGAAAGGATACCCGTGCGTCTGTCCGAGCTTGCCGTCTGGCCGCAACCCCTCTCCGGAAAACCCGCCAGAGGCAGATGTTCGGTGTATCAGGGAGGCGACCCAAGAAGTGGCGGACCAGGGAAAGGAAATTATTGGCATCGCACACTCATACGGCGGCATCATTGCCACTGAGGCATTCGCCGGCTTTGGCGTCAAGACTCGAGCGGCCGAGGGCAAGGCCGGCGGCGTTAAGTGGCTCGTGTACTGCTGTGCCTTTATCATGGAGGGGAATGAGACCATGTATGACATAGCTCCGCCAGAGTTGCTGCCGTGGCAGACTGTCGAGGTAAGCCACTGCACTAGCTCCACTGTATGATTTACTCTGACTTTTAAAGGGGAGCTTGATATGCTTCACCCAAGGTTATGACATGGGCGCTCTCTTCTACTCGGATTTGTCGAAGGAAGACCAGCAGAAATGGGCAGCCTTGATGACGCGCTTCCCCAAAGCGTGCGCAAATTACGCCACCAAAAGGAAGGCTTACGAAGGCATTGACACAACATACATCTACTGCGAAGAGGATGCTTTGTTTTCTGTGGTCGCACAGAGGATCTTGGTGGGCAGAGTGAGAGAGCGTGGCTTCGAGATTAAAGAGGAAAGTTTACCGGCAGGGCACTTCCCGATGTTGAGCATGCCAGATAGACTGGCGGAGATCATCTTCAAGTTACCTCTTCGAGGATCGAAGCTATGACCTCCATCCATCTATTGTAGTGTAGCACAATGGACGAAAATATCGGATACTTTGATCCTGAAAATCCTCCCGTCTCGTCCCTGAGTCTGAATACTACCCAGACAGGAACACTTTGAGATGCAAGGCTGCATCGAATTCTTATGCTCCTTGGACAATCATACGAGATGAACACGATTGGCATCAATGG